CAACTGAAACGTAAAATTTTCAATATAAGGTAAGGGGTATCTATCCACAACTGTTATCGAGTTCAATAATCGATAATCTCATCAGGCTCTCCAGTCCGCATTTGATTTATTAACCATATGCAAAGGCCTTTTTGAGAGTCGAATTATGCCATATTTCATTAAATATTCGAATTCCTTCTTTGCAGCCGCTAGTTTTTCTAAACCTATTCGAAGAACCTTTCACTCATCCTTGTATAATTTATCCAGCAGACTCGTGAAGTGAAAGATACCTCTTGATGATTTCTGCATCCAATTTGATTATCAAATCTGATACACATTTGTGTCGATTTTGAAATGACATAGGATTTTTGTAACTTGATCTTTGGTGAATTGTTGCAGTAATATTCTTTATCGAGGACAACAATTGTAGTTTACAAACGACTACTAATGTATTTTTGTAGCTTAACAGCAATACCGTTTCAATATCTGACTAAGATTTTGATAAATTAATCAACAATCTTGCAAAAATTGTTTTTGATATTTTGTTTCCTCTAAAAGCTTTATACTGGATGCTACTGACTGATGATGTGATACCACAATCTCTTTGGATTTGAAAAAGAACATTAAACAATCGTGAATAAAGGCCGTTTCTTTTATCATCTGGTAACATGCCTATATTCTAAACAATCTAAACCGTAACAGAAGACGATTAAATACGGAGACTCTCGCCCTTCTCGAGTTATACGGGGAAAACCAAAAATGCTGTTTTTCGTTTTTTTCGAATGGAATTGTTATTTCGGAGAATATCAAAAAATGGAAAAGGAAAATGTTATGGTATTCGAAGTGTACTATGACAATTGATAATAAAGATTCGATAAAACATTTCGTGTCATCGTGGCCACCATCAACTTTTTTTTTCAAATACGGACCTGTCTTTTTTATTACAGATATTGATACAGTGATGAATTCACAGTCCAAGGGTATATTACATTTGATATATTTATAGCGTTTCATTTGAAATAACCACCATCATCAGTGACAACAATTTAACAGAAAAACAATTTATTTTATCATGAGCTTTTGGGAAAAATGACACCAATACGGAAAATCAAAACTACATGGCAATCTACATTAAATGATCGAATTGACGACGTCTTTGTTGAATGCACATAAGTTGTCGGTCCAGACAATTTTTGTTACAATTTTCTAGCATAATAGGTGTAGGTACTAATACATGCATCTCTTATTTTTTGTTTGAGATGGTCGATGTCTGTACTTGGAGTTGAAAAACCTTTATCTTTTATGTATCCCCAGACAAAAAAACCTAAAGTAGTAAGGTCTGGGGATCGAGCTGGCCAGTTAATTGGTCCATCGTTTCCAATCCATTTTCTTGGAAATATTGCATCTAAATGTTCCCTTACCCACTGTTTAGAAGTAAACACAAGTAAATTCACTCTCGGTAGGACGCAAGACAATGGACTGTTATAACAAGATAATAGACTGTTATAGTTGTTGCAGGATACCTGGTGGAATAAACATTTATCTAGAAATTGACTTTCGATAGTAAACTGGGACAGTCAGTATCACTATTGAGAATTTTGCACATGAGTAATGATTCAAGTATAAAGTGACGATCTTCTGAAGATAATAAGTTATAATTAAAGTGTAAATAAGTTACCTACCATTTTGAAGGGCATGCAGGTTAGGTTAGGTTCAAAGTGAGTGAGCCTATTCGTCCCTCCATCGAAATGGTTTATTGTGGCTCACACCTATTCACACTCGATCAAATAAACCCAGCTACTTAACGAAGCCGATTAGTTCGTATAAAGAGAGGTCTTTCAGGTCAGATGGTAAGAGTACGACTCTGCTGAACTCTAAAAACCTGATTCGGTCTTCAGCGGGGTAGGCACAAAGTATGTGCTCTGTTATTTCATCATTTTCCAAACAGAGGCGACACACACTGTTGTCTGACAGTTCGAGTCTCTTAGTCTAATCAACAAATTCAAAAACATGAAAAATAGAGATAAAGATCCTAAAAATATGAGTGATAGCTCATTCAATTCGGAATCACCTCTAGAAAAATGTTTTTGAAGGATTTTGGTGCAGGTAAAAAATTGCAATTGTTATTAACAAAATAAGATTTAAAAAAATGTATTTAGTTAATACTATTTTTCATGTTTTTGAACTTGTTGATTAGACTATCTGCATATATGATGATTCAAATGACAGTGACCTGTAAGAAGGCCTGTTAGACATCGTAGTTCATCCCTACTGTAGTCCAACAACTGTTTGGTATCAAGCCAATGGGTGAGCCAGTCCTGAGAGATTTTGCCAAAAGTCCATAAATTTTCTTGCCATCCAGGTGTTCAACCTTTGTTTGGCAAAGCCTAAAGTGATGCCAATCACAGGTTCTGGTCCGATGAAGCTGCTTACAGCACCCTCTTTTACAAGGGAGTCAGCAGCCTCATTGCCTTCCAGGCCAGTATGGCCAGGAATCCAGACCAGATACAATCTATTGTCTTCTCACCGAGAAGAGTCGTTTTTGGCAAAGGGTATGTATCTGGCAAATTTGATTTGAACTTTTTTTATTAGGAATACTTATATCACATTTGTAATATGGGGACCAGATTGCACATCAATATTGAAGTGAGGAACGTACAAAAGATCAGTATAATGAATTCATTGTATCACAAGATAATTGAGTTTTTCAATAAGAAGTTTATGATTTTCTTTATCGAATGCCTGTGTAAATACAGTTAACTTGTTTTCCATTTTCTGAGGCATTCAGCAAGAAATGTTGATAGGTCAATAAGTTTGTGATAGATCTGTTGGAACAAAAACCATGTTGTTGAGGAATTATATTTTTGTAAGTCCATGTTAAATAATCAGTTACCAACTTATCTAAGGGTTAAGGTATAATTGATTGAATACAAATGCCTCTATGAACTTTTATATTTTTTCATTTCCCGACTTGAAAATAGACATAATATATCTGTTTTTCCAGTATTCAGGGAATTTATAAGTTTTCAGAGATAGATCAAACGAATAAAAAAATGGGCTGTGACAGGATGTACATACAACTTTTCAATACTGCAGCTGGTATACCATTAGGACCATAAGAATACTTGTTCTCGAGTCCTTGGATATCTTCATATACATCAATTAAACTTATTGAAATCTTATTATCATTTACCAAATTTTTATCTGTGTTAGGAATCACACGTTAATAGGTAAGACCCCGTTAGTCCTTAGCTCGCACAAGTTTCTGAACTTCTGAGAGTTGTCGTTCGTATGGGGGCGACAGCTGATTATTGGACGATTTGAATCTATTCACTGGCATAAACATTTCAATGGCTGTGTAGAGAATATCATGAAAAAACTGTAAAGCAAGATTGATATCTTTCAAGCTAAACATAATAGGCCAATCAACAGAAGCTAAGTAATCATCAATATCAATTGTGTTCAGTTTTTTCAAAATAATGATATAGTGTATTATATTTTAAATGTTCATTAAAATAGAAATTAGGCTCCATTATAATTATAATCATCAACATTAGAAAATTCAATTGAGAAAATTCCGTGATTATTTGGATTTGCGTTGCACTGTTTGGAACCTTTGGTGTAGTAACGAATATTACTGGAGTTTAATCCCAACACCAAACCGTTATTTTCAACACCTCAACACGTGTTTCAATCACCAAGTGATCATCTTCAAGAAGAAGATTAATTAATCTTCCTCTTCACCTTCAAGACATTCATGATTACACTGCACTCACCTACATACGTTTTTTTCAATGACTGTTTTGGTTTGATTATAATTGGGAAGATTTGAAGTAATGTATCGATATGATGAAACTACGAACCTTTTGTACATATCGTAGTTATTGATTTTGGCATTATAACACACACAAAGTCCCACTTTTTACAGTATCCAAAGTTATATGATATTCGTTTGTTTCATGTCGTTTTGTGTTGGTGTTGTCTCGGAAATTTGTTTGTGGCAATGTTTTTAATTTTTTCAAAAATATGTATCTAATATGTCTGATGGTTTTTATAATAGTAAAAAAGAACAACACAAAGAAACTACTTTTAGAACCCTGAAGAAGAATTTAATTAAATTCGAAACGTCGGCAAGAAACCAATTGTTTTTTAAAGAAAAAAAATATCCTAATACCCAACCAACCTTTCTTCAGAAAAATTATTGGATCACTAAACTAGTTAACTATATTGATAGTTTTGTAACTTGGTATTTCATTAATTTTGTTTACACAAAATGATTTGGCTCTATCATTATTCACTTTCATGTCATTCTGCATAGCCATATTAACAATTTGAAAGCTACAGAGACAAAATAGAGACAAATAAATCGATCTGGAATATATGCATGATAACCGTCAAACAGTTTAAGAGTTCAAAGAAAACACTGATGAAATCAACCAATAGCAATGGCGAATGGCCAACTCGTTCGCAATTAGTTTTGTGGTGCAAATGGGTCATCAAGGCAGCAAACTGTCTCAAAATTTCACTCAACATTATAATGGAGACTTAGTTTGTGATGAAGTAAGTTATGACGCGTTACGGTTTCTACGTTACGAATATGATCGTTTGATGTAATTATGTGTTGCTGTTATGATGGAATGATTTTTATAATGCATTGTATTTATGATTAAATGATATTATGGTGCGTTAGGTTATGGCGAAGTACATTATGAAAAAGTATGTTATGATGAAGTATATTATGATGGATTACATTATGAAGCTGTACATTATGCCGCTGTACATTTCTATCTTGTACTATGTGATCAATTGTGATTTCTATCGATTGATGTTATGACGGAGTAAATTTCTGTTTATTACGATTTCTATCCTGTACTTTATGATGCATTAGGTGTCCCCTATTCAGACCTATGCATAAGTGATGCAAACCCACGTTGCAACTGTCACAGTACTGCCTCTCATACAACTGTAATTGGGATTTTTTTGTAAAATGTTACCGCAGAATGAGATCTACAACTACGAAGTTTCCATGTTCATTATAATCATTTATTAATAATGTACAATTTACAAATGAAATGAAAACTGTATAGATATATAACTTTAATCTTTTCAATTAATACTTATCCAATTCTGATAAATAAATGTCAAAGTCACTTATCTACCAGATGCAGTTAACCTTAAAATTAACAATTCATAATGTATACACTTTTCATTTATTTATAGTCGATCAAAGTCATGGATCAAGACTTTCATGAATTGTGGTGCAAGTTTGGGGTCATTATGGGCCGCCCTTCCAGTTTGTTGTATTCCAGGTAAAATTCCTTCGCCACTTTCCGCCAATTCTGCGCATCGAAAAAGTAGTATGTTCCTCTTTCGTACACTGATGTTTTCTCCATTAGAACCATGCCTGGCACCTGGGTGATCCACACTTTATCTTCGGTATGATACCTCCAATCCCTGGCATACCTGTAAAACAAATTATGCGGCAAATTGTAATTTGGATATAGTACTTAATATTATTGATAGTAATCATATTGAAGCTATTCAATTCTTCAACACATAGATATGGTAAAATCTACAGTAAACATTATCTAATTTATATAAATTTTGTGAAAAATGAGTTTCAAGAAAATAAAAAAAATGTTTAGAGCCTCAAATATTCGTTTTAGCCCATTGGACGGTTTGACAAAATTTTGTCTTGTCACCAGTTTGTGATTCAATATCGGAGAGCCGTGTTTCGACCCGCTATAGGTCTCATCAGTGGTACTAGGCTGAACTTCGAATGCATTGCTAAATTTAATTGGCCTTTAAAGGACAAGACTGAGTAAATAAGGGCAATGACATCTTTTCTCACGAAGACGCCATCTATGGGATTGATTTTTTTGTCTAGTATTGAAGATGTTGAGTTTTCTTGTAATATACAGTGGAGTGAAAAAAAATTCAGTAATTTTAAATTAGTATCTATACATGAGTTGGGTATAATTATGAAAAATTTAGAAAATAAAGGAAGTCAAATTTATGAACTAAACAGTAAAGTTGTGAAACATAGCTTTGATGTTATTGGGCATGTGTGGTGCCACTTTGTGAATGTATCATTGGAAAATGGCACATTTCCCGAGGAATTAAAAACAAGCACTGTTACACCTATCGAAAAGGTTGCAAATACTAGTAAAAGTGGTGAGTTTAGACCAATCCTTTGCCATTTGAAGAAAAGATATATGAGAAAAGATATGATGAATATATTAACTCAAATAATTTGCTATTCATTAATCAATCTGGCTTTAGATCAAAGCACTCATGTGAATCAGCTATACAACTCACTGTCACTAAATGGAAGGAAAACATGAGTAATCATCTGTACACTATAGCAGTATCACTGGATCTAAAACGGGCTTTTGAAACAGTAAATAGAGATATTATTAAAAAAACTAAATGAATATGGTATAGAGGGTAAAGTATTCAATTGGATTAGAGGATACCTTACAAATAGAATTATTTCTTTTCTAGAGTGTCCCAAAACTTAAGTCTGAATTTCAGAAACTGTATATAAGACTATCATTCAACCTCATTTTGAATATTGCCCTACATTACTATACTGCTTTGATCTCAAACTGACAATTTGAGGAGTGCGAGAATATGACAAGACTTGATGAAATATTAAAAATAAACTTTTCCTCAAGAATCTGCAGTTTTCATTCAACTCGTTCTAAAATTTTCATTTTAATTACTGAGCAAGCATACTGTATTTTTTCTATTAGAAAAAAAAATCCCACTGGCATCTGAGTAATTTTAAAATCTAATCGTTCAATCAGATTTTCAGGAATTCTGGATAATTTATAGTGGTTATCAGTAAAAAATAGAGGTTATTTTAATTTTCAATAATATTTTGCACAATTCATTAACTATAAAGATAATTAAAATTTTGGGAACCTCATTAACGAAGTGAAAGTTCGTCCGGACGAATTGAGTATAATTTAGACATGCCTCGAGAGAAAATGATGTAGTTTTGGTGTATGGGAGTGTGTTTCGCTAACACCGTAGCTTCCTCGGTAAAAATTAATATTACACACTGCGCTACTATTATTATATACAACAGTAGTAGATACTCAACTGGTTAATAGTGAAAGCGATAACAGATAGAATTTGTATACCAATTACAATCTCATTTCTTAGACATAAGGTGAATTTTTGAATATGAATAAATGTATTATTATGAAAAAAGGTTCAACAATGGTGAGTGGTGAACCTCCTGTTGGTCGTTCTATATGGAGTATGTCGTACACAGTGTTGAAATCATGATTGTTCTCCAAAACAGGGCATGCATAGGTGGCATTGCTCTTAGAAAGAATACATACTTATAAATTTCTTGGGCTGAATATAGATGATAAATTGAAGTTTAAGGACCATACAATGAACTTAAGCAAGAAGCTTGCCTCAGGCTGCTACGCACTGAAAAGCATCTCTATAGAACTAGGCTAACTAGGCTATGCCCATTCAAGAACAGCCTATTTTGCTCTTACTGCCTTCTGGGGAGTATGCTTCAGAGATTTATTTCAAATGATTTTTGTTCTTCAAAAAATGCTGTCCGATACATGTGCAAAGCTGCTTCCCAAGTTACATGCAAACCTTTTTTTAAAGCTCATGGTATCATAACAGTAGCCTTCTTATACATTTTGGAAAATATCTGTTTATTGAAGACACAGCATTTGTCTTGTGTGATCCACACTTCTTCTTATAATACCCGCAGTCACAATAGCAAAATAGAATTGCCTATTCCCACGAGTTCCTCAGTTAGGGACTCAAATTTTTTTTCAGTGGTATCAAACGTTTCAATCACCTGTCAGTCCAAATTGAAGAAATCATGGTGTACAATAGATTCAGAATAGAGGTCAAAATTCTACTGGTTGATGAGGTCTATTATACAGTTCGGGAGTATTTTGATGATACATTCAACTTTTTATACACTTACGAACTAATATTCATTCTCTTAGTATATTTATATTTTTATGTTTGCTATTGTATTTATATTATTTAATTCATACTCATTTACCCCCCGTCCACCTAAGCTCTGTATTCTATAACTTCATTTTTATTTATATTGTTTGTTTAATTTATTTGCATGTTTTTGAATAATTTTTTGCAGAAAAATAGACCTTGTCTATAAAATGTATTTTTTTCTGACAGTATATTTGATTTGATTTCAGTTCAAAGCTTCTTTTATGTTCCGTGATTGTCGTTTTAAAATTTCTTGAAGTCCTTCCTACATACACTTTTGGACATGATCTGCATGTTAGTTTGTATGATCTGTTATCCTTGTCTATGTGTGACTTGTTCTTTAAAGGTCTACTCAAGGAGTTACAACTCTTATATGCTGTTAATATTTTGTTAATTTAGCAGTATTTTTATTTCATCTGATGTTTACTGTGCCAGCATTGAATTTTATGTGGGAATATACTTGGTTAATAGCTTGTTTGAAACGTTTTTTATCAAATATATGATAAATTACTTTCGAGTTGAAGTTGTTATCCACAGCAATGTTTTATCAGATTTAATTCCTTATTAAAAGTCTCTGTGGACACGGAATTGAATCTGATAAAACAAATAGCAATGGTAGCGTCAAAAGAAATACTTTGCTCATTATGTCTAGTTAGTTTAGAATTATTAAAAAACATACAAACTGTTTCATCTTTATCCATGCATGATCTGGTAGGGTTTTACTTTAGTGGAAGTATTCTAGGACATCATACATATCAGGAAAATCTATTCGATGAGCTGAGTCATATGACATATCTCACACCAGGCGCATGCACAGAACATAAAAGTAACAAAACTTTGATTTTTCCATTATAAATCTATGGGAAGTGCGAAAAAGGACACATAAGGAGGCCTAACCATTAAAATTATAAGGCACAGTAACAAAAAACACCAAATATTGTTACTCACTGCCGACACTAATTTAATCTAACCTATATAGTTAATGTTCATCTAGGCGCAATGTGGGTGGAGTCTGGTCCATGTTAGACTCTTCTCCGTAGACTTATAATGGAAATTTCAAAGTTTCATAACTTTTTTCTGCGCATGCGCCTAATGAGAGGGGTATCATAGTGCTCGTCAAGTAGAGTCCACTGATACGTCGGATGATGTTCTAGGACTCTTCCGCTAAAGTGAAGCCTGTTTCACGATCTATTTTTCTGCACCAGAATGCAAACTTTACTATGAATTTTCTGTGTATGAATGACCCATTAACGAATATCTTTACCCATTATTGAAATATTTGTATCATCGGCATATAACGCAATAGTACAAGAAGGTTCAATTTGGTTAATGAAATACAGCAGGTCATTTATGAAAACGATAAACGATGTAACGCCTAAAATTGATCCCTGAGGCATACCACCTGAGGTGTACCACTTGTAACAGATGCTAGGTTAGACACTAAAAGCCATTTTCCACTCATCCAAAGCCTATCTTAGAAAAAAAGTCTGTCAAAGCAGTTTCAATACTTTTATTTAACCTTCCACAGTATTTTCGAATCTAACTGATGATTTTTTCTGAATATTTAACCTACCTACCTTCCCGAGATTTACAACATTAACCTTTATTATCGGCATCATCAACTTGATTAGCACAACTACCAAATTATTATGTTAAGCAGCTAACCAAATCATGCAAAGTAAATCCGCTACTACTTTTTTATTGCAATGTTTGCAAATTTTTCACATTTTCAATTTTGGTGGTTTTGACCCTCGTCATTTGTTTTGTCATGTAGTTATTATTGAAAGTGAGAAAGGACTAACTACCCTCAAATTCTTCAAAAAATCTTACATGGGACTTATATAACTGGTATGTGTTGATTCAAATAAATTAAAACACTTACAATTCTTGGGCTGCTGCTATTTGAAGTACATCACCAACGTTGTTGTAGAACATGAAAAATAGAAGATCATCTTTGTATCGACTTAATTTCATCGATGCAAGTTTATCCCTGAAACAAGAAGTTCATGAAAACATTTCGATATTAGTGATTGATAGAATTATGTACTTGATTATCTGATCATACAGCTTCCACAATTCAAAATGTAAGACATATTCTTTCTTATAACCTATTCATGATAGTTAATACTGGAGCCTCTGGCGTAAAATGAATCTATTGAAAACACTTTTCCAACACCAGAACTTGAAGGATCTTTTAGATGTTGATGAAATAAGTGGTAAAGTAGTCGAAGAGTACATCCAGCTTACCAAAATTTGCATGGAACAAAATTGCTTCCAGTTCGCCAACTATTTTAATGGACAATATGAGGGTACCGCAATGGGAAAATCGTTGTTTCCTATCATGGCTAATCTGTTAATGAGCAGATTTGAAATGGAAGCATGGGAAGAGTTGGATTACTTTCCACGAACCTGGATCCAATACATGGATGATGCATTTGCCATTTTCAATATGAATAGGAGTAAGGTAGGGGATTTTGTATTTTGCCTCAACAAAAGGTTTGCAAGTATAAAATTCACATATGAAATTGAAAATAACGAAGAACTACCATTCCTGGATACATTAGTTATTGGGAATGTCAATAAGGGTCTAGGGTATATAGAAATAATACGAGTACTTTCAGGTATATCCTTGACAGCTCCTATCATTGCCCACAATGAAAAATGCAATTTCTTGTTCATAGACTGCTCACATTTCCCTTAAGCAAAAAAAGGATAAGATTGAGAAAAAAGTTGTTAGGGAGGTGGCTGAAAGCAACGGGTATCTATCAAACATAGTGGATAAACTAATTAGAAAAAATGAAATTTAGGGAGTATCTTCGAAATACCTGGACTTTTCGAAAAGGGGAAGATTCAAAATTAATAGTATTTTCATATGAACCCAAATACACCAATGGGTTGGTTGGAATATTCAAAAAATTGAATAGGAGAGCGGCTTTCAAAACTGCATATACACTTCAACAAGTGTTGGGCAGTCTGAATAACTGGACATTGGAAAAAGAAGAGTTTGGGATTTACGAAATAAGCTGCGAGAATTGTGATGAGAAATATGTTGGTCAAACGAAACAAACTATATTAGCTCGTTACAAGGAACATATTTCCATATTCGGATTCATAGACCGGAGAAATCTAGTGTCGCTTAACTTACAGAACGAGTACAAAATAAGTGAGAAATGTTTAAAATTGTAGAGACCAGTACATGACAACAGGTTTCTAGATGTCTTCGAAAGCTTGGAAATTGAAAAGTGTGGAATGGGTTCTATGAATAGCTACAAAGATCCTATTTGTAACAGCTCTTTGCTCGGTCTTATAGTAATAATTCTAAATAGAAACCAGAAAAATATAGAAAAAATGTAGGGGATAGTCATTAACATAGAGGTATTAAAAAAACTGGAAATTCAGCATAGGAACAATAACAGGTAGTAGTTAGGCCACAGCATATAAAAACACTAACAAAGAAAAATTTTAGTCATAATGATATCTTGAGGACGCTACTTGGTTAGCAAACCGTGCGTGGAGAGACTGTAATTTTGTTCTGTTGTTCAGAAAGACTTTTCAATAGATTAATCTATTCAAACTAAAACCTATTTGTGTGTGTATTGGGCCAGTCACACAATTAACCCATTTTATATAAGGAGATATCATACTTTGGTAAGTGTGCTTGTATATTATTCAATAATGCAAAAACAAATTATGCTTCCCAATTTTCCATTTTAACTGTTCACAAATTATAATGTTCTTGACTTTTTGACAATTGCAATTGAAAGATAAATAAAAATCTTTCTGAATGATATAATGATGTGATGAAATGAAAATATATGTCAAAAATTGCTAATAAATGGTTACTATCAAAAACAGAGTTTGTTGATTTCCACATAAATTATGGTAAACAGGGGCGTGCCTGAATTGGCTTACACCTTTCTCTTATATAGTTCAAATAATTGCTTCTAGCAGGGTTACAAAATAAGTAGAATAACCCTGCTGAAATTTCTCTCTTTGAAAACACCATTGAGTTGTTCTGTAAATGTTCTGGATAATAAAAAAAGACAGAGTCTCCCTTATCAGCGTTACACACACTTTGAGATTCAGGTGGATCCGTATTATTAACAAAGTCTGTAATAACTGATCAATGAAGGATAATATCCTTTTTAAATTTCTTGCAATAGGTTCACTGTTCCCTATACTTCGTTTTGATATACAACATTAGATATAAAAATATATTGTCACCACTATAAACTTGCAGTTTTGCGGATTTGCTGAGCAAAAAAAATTCAGACCAGCTTGGTCTGTCAACCTTGGGTAGTTCTATATTATGTGAGTTACATGGCTCTGCTTTTGTAGTAGGCAGTCCTTGAATATGCTTAAATTCTAACTCTCTACCCCTCTTTCCTCTTTTTTGTCGATTTTTCTCTCACTCACCCTCAGTCATTTACTAGTCTTCCAAGGATTCACTTCTTAGGACCAGCTTAAATTAATCCCCTTTTCTTTTCAGACCTTCCTTCTATCCTCCCTCTCAATTCACAATATTCACACCTTTTTCTCAGATCATGTTATTTATCCCTTTCTCTCAGATGGCTTTTGTTTCAACATTCAAACAATATAAAAATTGATGTAAATGTTTGTTTACCTGATGGCATGGTTGATAAGATACTCTGGAGGAACATGGAAGTCTATGTCTTGCGGCCTACAAGGGTGCTCTGCCCAAGGTCCTGCAAAAGTAGGGTACAGGTTGTCAGGGGAGTTGAGATTCAATCCAAGCGCAGTCAAATCTTGGCCGAGTGCCAAAGAAACTAGGTTAGGATCAGTCTCGGCTGCCCTGATGAACGTCAGAAGACCAACAATGCCGAACTGATCATTCACCATGCTGGCAGGGATATTCGTCACTCTGCCATCAGGCGACGTCTGAATACCTGGAAATGATGAGAACATTAAAGCTGATTTACATTTGGGCAAAGAGATGGAAATAAAATAAAAAATATTTGCATAAAATATATTGCACACTAAAGACTTGTTTCACACCACAGCAATTAGGTTTCCATTACCAATCCAAAAAAATGTTGATATTGATTTTTAACTTGTTTTGAAAGTGATTTCATGTTACATATTTGAATGCCCATTAAAAAAGACTTGTCATCAGCTTTTTTTTAGTTGCAATCAAGTTTGTGCAGACAGAAAATTGCAAATTGCATGAAGAAATAAACATTAATAATCAATTAAATAGTAACATTTTATACACATGGATGAAAGAGTTTTGAAATATAGTATACAGGTTAAACAAATATTTAACAATATTCTGAAATGACTAAGTTCGATTAATTAATATTGAAATTAGTGACATGTGATTTTGAATATTGTGCGAAACTATAATAATAATAATCATCTTTATTATTTTCAACAATTAATAGTACAAACCATAAAAAAAGATTATTCAACTTATTGAAATTAAAAGCCAAATTTCAGTTTCCTCAGAGATGAAGCTCTGATTGACCTGTTCCTCCACTTAACCTTAAACTGTCTTCACGAGTTCCAAAAAAGCAATTCCACGTTTCTACGATTCGTGTTTATCAAAATTGTAATCACCAAATAAAAGGATGGTCGAAAGAAAAAAAAATAGTTATTGACTACCTGTAAACAAGCGAGTCTTAAATTCCGTTTTGAATTGATTTTCTCCTAGTATTTTAAAATGAGAGGGTATGCTATTATATACCTTCCATATCTATGTTTTCTAAAAAAGAGTGTAGTTAAAGTTCCTTTGAACCTGCTGTTCAGATTGGGGACATCCATATGATATTTTACTTTTTGTTCGGTTTTTCATATTCGACCACCCAACATCAACCGATTTATGTGATATACTGTCTGTTCCTTATTCCATATATGAGCTGAAGGCATGAATTCTGTACAATTTGAATTTTGATTTTGTAAATGTTTGTTAAGTTAGCGTGATATACAATGTCTGCATAATCGAATAAGGGTACAACTAAAGCTTCACACAAATATGTTTTTGTTGATTGTGAAAGAATATACTTTGTGGAATAATTATTTCAATCGGGAAAATACTTCAAATTCTCGTTTTTCCCAAATATCTCAGCAGGCCATGAAAATTCTTCAAGTTTCTAAACGGCATGTAAATAAGCTTTAAAGAACACAACTTTTTCCTAATTTAACCTAAGCTGTATCTCCAACCGGTACTGAGATTCCCATGCTTAGGATCCTTATCTTGGACACACTGTATATATATATTGTGTTTTTTATTAATATTGTTAATTTATTTGGTACCTACTATAATTACCAAGATTATTACTCCGTTTTCATAAGGCCCACCTGATGACTACAACGATTAGGTAAATTACGATATTGCAAAGTTTTAATGAAATAAATAAAAAATGTGTATGAATATTTTAACTAATTGTACTAAGAATTTTTCTTTCATTCTTAACCCTCTCAAAAATTAATAAGCACGCCCCCGATTTGCTGTCAACTGGGCTTACTTCTACTCTCAATCATTATTCGTTTTAGTATAGTCTGATATATAAAAATGGATGTTTGTTGGTTGGTAAGTGATAAGCTTCTACATCGCTCAACCGATCATGATGAAACTTGACATGTATAAGTAATTTTTCATGGAGAAGGTTTCTAGGCTATCAATTTTTCTGTAACTCGCCACTGGATGGCGCTGTAGAACAATTTTTTGAAAGCACTGTTCTATAACGCTGCGCACGCCTAAGGTCGTTGATTCTGTCAAAACCTTCGAACAACAGCAATACAGCAACAAAGTACTAGTTATCTTATAAATGAGAAATATCTTCAAATTAGTTTCAACATGAAATCCACATGTTAACTAGAAATCATCTGCCTTACTTTACATAATTTTGATTAAAAAAAATACTTTCACAATATGTATTAGACAGACTGAGCCGTTTTCAAGGTTGAGTTAAAGCTATTTGTTGTACGTGGTCAATGAGGCAAAGGAAGTAGTTCTATAGCTGTGCTCATAGCATATACTACATTGGTCAAGGAACACATTTCATCATCATCAGTGGAGAACGTGACTTCGACTATTGGTTTGCTTAATTAGTCTGGTTCGTGTATACTCGATAGTTGAACTGGAATAAAACAAGATACCCAGTTGTAAGTGAAACCTTCAGGCATAAAAACCTGCAGACTATAATAAACAAATCTGAAAAATAGTTATGACATAGTTATCTACAGAGTTTATATTCCTTGCTTTCAAGGATGTTCCTTCAAAAAATGATCTACCTACCATTTTCATCAAACTTGAACGTAATTGTTATAATGAAGGACAGAAAGAATAGTAAAGGAAAAATATTCACAAATTTTTAAAATGAAGTATCATACATGATATGATTCGGGATGATGAATCATGCTAGCACAGTTACCGAGATATAATTTATATAAGATCGCGCACTGCGTCTTGGGTTTTCAGTCTGGAAAAATTCTTTGTAATGAAAATATTAGTTTTGAAGAATATGGAGAGATATCTGCAAGGTACACTTGTTTCTTGAAAAATAATTAAATATTCAAAAAACCTATTGCACTGAAAAATTGAATGGTGGAATGAAGGAGCTTAAAAAGAATCTGAAATCACTTCCAGTTCAATTAACACATTGACTTGAAAAAAACAAGACACAATCTGTTACATCGACTTGAAAAAAACAATACACAATCTGTTAAATTCATAATGGTTTACCCAAAAGTATACATTTTTCGACAAAACAGTTAAAAAAGCAATTCAAGACTCATTTATTTTTACCATGAATACATTATATTTTTATTTCAAGAATTTTTCTATGCTTCACTGATATAATTCAGTTCACCAACCTGATCATCCGGTGGAATTGTTCCTGGTTAAATTTGGAAACATTTGAACTTCGCTTTTTACCATCGCTAAGTTATGTTTTATGATAAGTTGATTGTAAATCTATTCTTGATAATAATGAAGGCGATCATCAATATTATTATTAAATGAAAAGATCACAAAATTATGGTATATAGTATAATTCTGAAAACTATTTTTTTAATGAAGCCTATTTTAAGAAAATAGGCTTTCACGACCAGAGTTACGATTAGAGGAAACAAAATCAGGGCTGATGGGCCGTGATAAAATGGAACTTGTAATACCAAATGATTCGTCTGCTACTGAAGCAGACATCATCAATGGTATGTGAGTTGACGGTGAAGACAAATTTTATATCTCAAAGAGATTAGAAAATGACAGATTTAGATATCTCCAAGCAAAAACTTCAATAATGTTATAACTACCAAAACGCCTAATTTCAGTTATGTAAGATCAAAAATAGTGCATGTAGTCATTACAATGTACTTAATAAACTAGAAAAAGTACAGAGTGAATTTCAAAATATGTTAGTGTTTCATGTGGAAGCAAGAGCAAGTTACTGATTATAATTTATTATATCAACAATTCAAGATTCCCTCACTTGATTGAAGAAGAAATTTTTGAGTCTTAAAATTTTAGACATATTGAACACTGCTCTGATTCACTTGAATTTCCAAGTTTCTAGGGCAATCACTAACATAGTTAAGAGATCATCTATCTACAGGAGCTCAGTGGGTATGCTTTCAGAACCATATTGTAAATTTAGAAATATAATTAGGACTTGTTATTTGAATAATATGTATTGTTAGAAGTTATATAGCACTATTGTACCCACATTCTCTTATATTCAGGCAATGAAGCTTTATTAGCAGAGATTTATAAAATTAGCTAAGGGGATTGTAACAAAAAGTACGTTGGCCAAACTGAACGGACTATATTACCTCTCAATAAGGAACATGTACTTTTGTTTTGTTGTTTCTAACACTCCGCGGGCATGATGATGAATCTAAAATTCCCTTCTAATAATTGCAATGAAAATGTGCTGAGACTTTGAAGTCAATTGTCTCAAAAGCACAAGATTTGACATTGGCTGTTCATGTTCCAAGTATATAAGTAATTTGTAATGCACTGTTAGGAACCTTTGGTATAGTAATGGATATTACTGGAGTTTTATCCCATCACCAAACTGTTATTTTTAACACCTCGACACGTATTTTTACCACTTTAATTTGTAACTAACGTTACTGCAGTTTCGTCCTATAAGGATATTTTCAAACTTATATGTTAAACTAACAATGACTGATTACATTAGTCCTTATATAACACCACTGTATGTATTAATAGAGGTAGGTAGTTTGATTCAGTACCTGGAATTTTTTTACTAGTGACAATGTGGATATGTTAATTTGAAAACCGGTACTTATGATGCACTGTTTGGAACCTTTGGTGTAGTAATGAATATTACTGGAGTTTTTTCCCAACATCAAATCGTTATTTTTAACACCTCGACACGTGTTTCGATCACCATTATTAAACAGTTTAAAACAGTTTTAATCTTTCTCTTTGAAGATGGTCACTTGGTGATCGAAACTCGTGTCGAGGTGTTAAAAATAACGATTTGGTGTTGGGAAAAAACTCCAGTAATATTGAAAACCGGTGATTAACTAAATCGATTTGATCATTTAATGGTTGCACCCGCAATGTTTATGCTCGCGAATTTCCAAGGATTCCAAATAATTGAGTTTGCTATTCTTCCTTGCATAGTGTAAAATTTCCGTATCTTTTAGATTTGGCAACTTGTGGTTGCATGCCAAGGAATGGTTTGAAAACGTCGAATCATTTTTACCTAGTCTGAAGGACTTTTCATGTTCAGCATACCGTTTTTTGAAATTTCAATCACATTGTCCCATATAAACACTATTACACTCCGGACACTTAAGCTTATAAACTCCAGATTTCTCCAACTTGTCCACTTTATCTTTGACATTGAAAAGGAAATCAGATAACTTGACATGTGGTTTGAATGCCACTTCAATTGTTTTTTTGAAGAAACCCGCAATTATCTCTGTTCTTTTACCAAAATATGTTAGAGTTACCCATTTCTTGATTTCCGATTGTTTGATCTGGGGGTATATTAATCTGTAAGTGAATTTACGCCTTTGTTTTCTGACTAACTTCTGGATTGTATTTGTGTGGAAACCATTATTATGGCCTATCTTTGTAATTATATCAATTTCCCTAGCTAGAAGCAGACAAAAGCAGTGAGAATGCTCTGAGCAACATTAAATTGTAGGCTGCTAATTTATGACTGTTTTTATAAATGTCTGTATAGCTAGATTTTCTGAAAACATTGAACACAAATTTATTCTGATTGTGTGTAATGGTCAGGTCTAAGAAAATTATCTGTTTCTCTATCTCTGTTTCGAGTGTGAATCGAATGTTGCTATTGAGATTATTCATGAATGTCATAACTTGGTTCAGCTGTCGTGTAGTACCTCTGAAACAGGCGAGAATATCATCTATATATCTGTACCAAAAATGAATATGTTTTTTACCCAGGTCGGAATTTACTATAGTAGTCTCCAAGCTGTTCATAAATATGTCTGCTTAAAGTGGACTAAGGGGTGAGCCCATTGGTAAACCTGAATCCTGTTTATAAAATTTGTTGTTGAACTGTAGGTAACTCTGATTTAGGCAAACATCAAAAGCTGTTGAAATTTCAAAGGAAGTGATATAGTTTACTTAGGTTTGATCTAGTATATCTAAAATGAGAAGGCTTACATTTGTTGTACGGTATGTTGGAGAACATATTCTTCACATTGAATGAAACTAAAATTTTGTTATGTGGCGTGGTTGGGTTTCTTATATTTTCCACTAAAGTCGGTGAATTTTTAATGCTGTGAGGTGGGAAGAAATTGGTAATATTTTTTAACAACTTGTTGAGACGTATTCCTAGTTTTCTTACCAGAATATTTATATACGAAATTACTTGTCTTATAGGGTATCCTTTTTATGTGTTTCTATCAGACCATATAGTTTAGGGCAGGAGGAGTTAATTTTGGTGATTCTCCGTTTCTCTGATTTCGTGAAAATGATTTTAGTATCCGAGAGGAATTTTTTTAGTTCATTTTGACTATCATTGTTGGGCCTTTCTTGATGACAATAAAGTTTTCATTTTGGATGACTGATTCAATTCTATGGATATATGTTTCTCGTTCAAGGATAACGATGGCATTCGATTTATCAGCTTTTGTGAAAACAAGATAATTTTTTCTTATTTTTTGTTTTATAGTTTTCATTATGCCTGTTTTTCAACGGTTTGATAAAGAGAATGGATGGTTCTGAATTACTTCATTGATTTTGTATGCCCGTATATCTCTATTATCTGTCTGTTTCAATGCAATAGCTGTCTGTTATACATGTATCTAAACTGTTTTTTTAAAATTATTGTTGGTGTATATTTCGGCCCTTTGGACATTGTTGAAATTTCCTCTTTGTTAATTGGTCAAGTTAATGGTGTCAGAAAACAACGCCGTAAATTCACTTACATATTACTATACCCCCAGATCAAACAATCAGAAATCAAGATTGATTGATAATATGTTTATTGTTTAAGAATAAATTCTTGTTACATTGTCATAAATAAATCAAGAAATGAGTAACTCTAACATATTTTGGTAAAAGAACAAAGATAATTACGGGTTACTTCAGAAAAAACAATGTGGAAGTGGCATTCAGACCACATGTCAGGTTATCTGATTTCCTTTTCAATGCCAATGATAAGGTGGACAAGTTGGAGAAATCTGGAGTTTATAAGCTTAAGTGTCCGGAGTGTAATAGTGTTTATGTGGGACAATGTGATTGAAATTTCAAAAAACAGTATGCTGAACATGAAAAGTCCTTCAGACTAGGTAAAAATGATTCGACGTTTTCAAACCATTCCTTGGCATACAACCACAAGTTCCCGAATCTAAACGATTCGGAAATTTTGCACCATGCAAGGAAATGTTGCAAACTTAATTATTTGGAATCCTTGGAAATTCACAAGCATAAACAATGCGGGTGCATCCTGTTGAATGATCAAATCAATTTAGTTTACTCACCGGTTTTCAAATTAGCATATCCATATTGATATTAGTAAAGAAAAAGTACCTCTATTATTACCTACAGTGGTGTTATACAAACAAAAAGTGGTAAAGAACATAGAAAGTTTCAATTCTCTTTTCTTCACTATGATTTCCTACCACGTAGTAATGGCTACATCCATCAATTCATCAACTGAATATGTAATATTTCCAATCTTCATTTGTGTTCTTTGAAAATCTGAGAGGATATCAAAAAAAATCTAGTTCTGTTTTATATATGTGATAGAATCGGCCGATATTTGATGAAAATCCATAACGTTTTCAAGAAACACTTCATTGTGAGATTTTCGCTACAGTTTTTGAAAAACACATGTGTTTCGCTATACAATTGCTATATCAGGCGTGTCTATGCAGTTATAGACATGCCTGATGAAGCTATTGTATAGCGAAATGAGTGTTGCGTTTTTGTAAAACTGTTTAGTGAAAATTTCACAGTGAAGTAGTTTTGTTGTATTTTCTTTTTTATGAAACAAGAGGATGTAGGGTTGGGAAAAGGTCAATTGTCTCTTTGTTGATATAGGAGCAGTCAACTGATTTTAGATAAAAAAACAGAACTGAACCACAAAACCACAGATGAAACTAAAGAAAATTTTCAGGTTGTTGTCAAATTTTCTGCTCTGAAAATATTATAATGAATATTTCCTAATAGTTAAGTATAGATGAAATGGTATTCCACTGAAATACTCAATTTGAAAGTGAACACTGATGAGAATTCTCTCTGGTTGATTGATATTTAAACCAGGCATTTCTCAAATGATCTTTAATATTTACCAAAAATCAATTAAGAGCACTTTCTTCTGAACACTTACCCGATTTGGAACCATTTTTATCCCCATCTCTCGAACTCACTCCATCTCCTGCACCACCAATAACATTCTTATCACCAGACGTACTGCTACCAGGAGACGCACCCTCTCTATTCTGAGTACCAGGTAAGGCAGGAAAGTCTTCGGACGACATAGTGAATTCACTAGCTTCGGACGTCGGTTGTTTAACCATTCCTACATATGGTTTCGCTCCCGGCATAGGACTTGGTTGAGGGACGTTATCACCAGAACTTCGATTAGTCAATGATGGGAACTCACTAAGGTCTAGCAGAGATGGAGTATTCGTGTCCCCCGAACCAAACACAGAGTTGAACGAACTGTAACCTCCCAGGGTATTCATGTTACCCATTTGATTATTATTTCTGGAAGAATAGAAGATTGAATTAATAATAATGCCAAATTTTCCAGGTACCTTATAAAATCACAAATTTTATCAAATATGATGGTAAAAATTCCTTTATGATGAATGGGGCTGATAATGCACATTTGTGAGAATGTCTTAACTGTGTCAGACAGGTTATATTTTGCAAAAAAAAACAAAACAGGTTCTGACATAAGACGGATAAAATCCTGGTACAATCACTTATACTTATACAGTAGATAATTATCAATTTCTAGTTATAAGTTACTGAATTTTATTAAGGCTTCAAAAAAGAAATATGGAAATGTCAAAAGTTGAAGTTTCATTTTTTAGTTGTCATGTGTAACATCAATATAGTCCAGTCCAAATTGACATTAGACATAACTTATGATGCACTGTTTGGAACCTTTGGTGTAGTAATGAATATTACTGGAGTTCTTTCCCAACACCAACACCAAATCGTTATTTTTAACACCTCGACACGTGTTTCGATCACCAAATGATCATCTTCAAGAAGATTGAACTAAAAAAAAGTTTAATCTTCCTCTTGAAGATGATCACTTGGTGATCGAAACACGTGTCGAGGTGTTAAAAATAACGATTTGGTGTTGGGAAAGAACTCCAGTAATATTCATTAGACATAACATTTGAAAAAATCATTTCAAATGTAATGTGCAATTATTTGCATTTGAACTTCTTTTTAAAAATGTTATTAAAGGTAAATAACATTAAACGAGTCAAAATAACCAATAATATCAAATGATCTATTAAACGAGTTATGAGTGACTTTTGTCAAGTTCTTGACAACAATAATTAACTATTGTAAAATTCATATTTCTCAGTCTTGTCTTTTTTAGGATCACATACAAGGTAGTGTTGTTGGGATTTCATTTATTAAACAGGTTCTAGCAAGGACGGTTTTCAAATATAAATATTATATTTGCTTTTATCTTTCTTCAGTTTTATTTGTTCGACTGACCACTATTACCTTTCTTACAAGAAAATCCATTCTACTTCAGCATATTATATTATTCCACAATACTTATTAGATTGTAATGCTCATTATATGTGAGACATCTACAAAAAAGTGTTTTCCTTCTAGGCACACATTACACGAATTCAATATTATTTATAAATTTTTTTTCAAAGGATACCCCTCTTTACCTACTGACATCACATTAGTGACTTTGAAATTGGTGAACACTGTTGTCTAAAATTTACAAATTCTTGACTGAGAATCGGTCAGGAAACTGGGATTTACAGCTATGAGAAAAACTATCCTAATAACTTATAAATGTGAACAAATAATCGATGGAACTGATTGAAGTTACATTTAGTACATATCTGATTCAAGGTTTTATATAGTGTTTTTTTCTGAATCTCAATATTTTCTTTGACAATATTTACTGCACTATAATAATCTAATAATGGTACTGATGATAAAAATCTGAAATTCTAGCTATCGGAATGTCTAAAGGTATTAAGAAGGCCATAAATTTTGAACAAAAAAATATGTCCAACAACTACACCAGGGTTTTTATGCATCTTGGTCAGAGAGGTTATATTTCAAAAGATAAATGAGATCTGATCTGTGTAACTTATAGAAAACTAACTCCAAGCCAATAATATTAGGTATATAATGGTTAATAAAACATGAAGTGTGCATTATATATGCACTCTCTATCAAACCAAATTATTTTTCTCATATAACCGAAAAGGGAAACAATGTTCTTGACATATGTTATGGTATGTTTGAAAAGTAAATTCATTAGATTAACTATATTTTATAGATGGAAATTCTAATCACTGATGTTTTCCTTAGTTGAACAGCCACTATATTTAATTTAGAGAAAGTGCATAGTTCTAAAACAAAACTTGCAAAATTGTGTAAACAAAAACAAAATATTGAAAACTCTGTTATCTTCAAATAATACTGATATTTACCCCATAGCAGGTAGGGTTCTTCTTTCAGAAGATGTTCTTTGTCCAAAAACAGGAGTAACATGTCCAGACATAGAATTATTTCCAAAACTAACACTTGTTCTTGCCAGGCTGTTACCTCCAATATTTCTTGTAAAGTTCAAATTCGCCATAGCTATCTGATGTGGGGCGAGCCACCTTCAAGCATAACGAAAAATATACAGTACTTCCTATTTCAATAACTTTTTTTCACAAAAACCTTATTTGAACTATTAGCACAAAAAATACAAATAACATTACTTCATTTTGTATACCAAATACACGAATTAAGAATAAACAAGATATGTGAGCCCGCTGGCTACTTGAAAAACTATTGCAAAATACGCTATCTGCAACAAAAAACAATTTTTTTTTACACAAAACTTTCTGATAATTTTTGTGAAATGAATGTTATTGTCCATCAACCTTCCGCCATTACAATTTACAACTGTCAATTGTCATATCTCAGCAGTGAGCAAAGATAATAAAAAGCAGCGGTCTGTATTCAGGTGACATTCTGTCAAACGTGTTTTGCTTCTTGTACCTAGATGCTGTATATGAAAAATATGGGTACGTTCAATGCTCTTAGCACATCGCAAAGGTTGACAGAAGTCAGAATAAAGGTCAATTCTTAAATGTCATTCTATTCTCACCACAATAAATTGTATACAAACCACAAAATAACTTTTACTAGACATTGAACACAATTTGAAATGGAATGGCCAGCGGTCTGGTGACATTCTGTCAAATGTGTTTCGTTCGCTTCTTGTACCTAGATGCTGTATATAAAAAAATATGGGTACGTTCAATGCTCTTATGCCCGTATTCGCCGTTTCCTCTGTATAGCGAAGATTGCGTAAGCCCGCTTTAGAGTCAAGCCAAGCTTAAATGTTTGCGGTACGCACCACAGAACAAAAAACGTAGCTTAGCCAAGCACCAAAATAACTTGCCAACGTTGTATCTTTTCGGGGATAATTACAATGGGGAGTGTTTCTCCTGACGAGAATCAAGTAGTTTTCATAAAAGAGATCTAAAACAACGCATTCTAAACCTATCATTTCAACCTTTTTCCTTAAAGAATTATTTCAATACTTAAAAAAGAGGAATGAAATGATGAATTCAACATTTAAAGGGATTCGTTTCTATTTCACCTTTTGGCAACATCGGTTATAGCTGATAAAGGACAAAGAATTTGTTACCTGCATGAGACAAAAAAAAGGACATATTTCAGAGGCTTGCTGTTCTGTTTACTTATGTTCCGAGTTCCGAGACATTCTGTGACATCTGGCATTTTGTGCACCCAACCTATTTTCCTCTATATAAATAAATAACAAAACAACTGCCGTTTATGTGGCTTGTGGAGGTGGTATTGAACTATGATTTATATTTTGCCTCAATTGTTAATTTATAAAGATACTTTTCCTTTTTTAAAGTAGAATATCTAGGTACGTATAAATTATTTCAACTTGATATAGGCGCTGTTGCCAATATGTGAATTAGAAACAAATCCCTTTGACATTCGAAACATCAATTTGAATACTTTTCGAAGTGAATTTGAAAAACTCATTAATTAAACTTAACTTTATTTTCTTCAAACTTGCATTTGCTGTAATAACCCAAATTGAGGAACATTTCCCATTACTGTTTATGCTTTCGAGTCAATTCTTATATGACGGAAACCAAATGTTAGGTGAATTTAACAAAAATTGTGTTTCGATGGTTTACTTTAACCTTGTTGTTGAAAAATATCAGAGTCAGACAAAAGAACATACTTACCAGTGAATTCAAACGAAGTGACTGAAAAAGAGTTCCAAACTTTACCTCAACGGAGAATTAATTTTTGCAATTCAATCATAGCCCCCTGTATTGCAAAATAAGATCTAACTGAGATTCAGGCGATAACCATGGGAAGATTAAAATCTTCTCCGGCCAGAAAAGTAAGAATCTCTGGAAGGGAGATTGAATGGCAAGCGCGGGTAAAGTACTCGTTCTTCTAATAGACCGTAGGCTCACTTGAAACTTGCACATCATGAACGTCAAGTCAAAGATCGAGGGTCGGATGGCCAGACTATAACCCTCTGATCAACAGAAAGTCCAAAATGAGCTTGAAAAACAAAATTACCATCTACAATACGATGTTCAAGTCTGTCATCATGTATGCTTCAGGCGTCTGGGGACAAGCGGCGAAATACAATATCATCATTCTGGAGGTATTGCAAAACAAACTAATGAGGATGATTGGGAATGCTTTTTAGTTCGTGCGGAATGAAGCCATCCGCAGAGATTTGAAGCTGCCTTCCATTCAGCAATCCATTCAGTTGAGGAATCGGCGAGTTTTCGAAAGTGCGGAAACTCACGAAAATCCGTTAGTTAGAGAATGAATAGACTATGCTGTAGACGACCCCTCCCGATCTAGAAGGCCTCGACACTCTGGTCGAATGAGGCCCTCATGTCTCCCGTCAACGGACGAATAGCTTTTTTATCCATCACACCCCAGCCGGGTAGGGGTATCCCGTGAAGAGCGGTACTGATGTCTGAGGACTTCATACCGCCATCCCCTCAGTCATGAACACATTTGCCTCCATCCTGATTGAACTCAAGACGACGTGCAGTGAAGATCTAACTGACCACGTATAAAGAGAGAAATGTTCTACTCAGGACTACCTGTATTATAAATTTTCTATTTTACGTGTAGTCAGTTATATCTTATGTGATTGTGTTAAAAAAAAGTAAAAACAATTGAATGTTTTTTTCGAATTATAAAGCTACGAGCTCCAGCACATACAGTGTTGTCAGCTTGGTCAGTCCGAATCTTAAATAGTTAGGCCTCCTGAAAATTCTTCGTGGATATCCAAAATCAATCATGTGTAAGATTCCATTATCGGCTTCCAGCATGATTTCATTTTCTAGTTCCATCACTCTGCAACAACTGATTTTAATTCACGAGTCCGTTTACTGAAACATTTCAGCAAAACGACATATTTCCAAAACTAAAGAATAAAAAGTGAGGTTCTGATATCTGCATAAGCTTGACTTTACATATAAAGCCACGAAAATGTAGTCGTACGAATTCGTACGAATTAGTAAGAAAACGTCGGAAATAAACAAATGCGTTTATTGACATGGTTGTGGTTATATACGACCATTTGTTACGAATTCGTACGTGATTTCCATACGACCAAAATATTTTGTTTCTTTCATAGGTGTTCGTACGACTAGCTTGCATTTTCTAGTGTTTTCAGAGTGACAACATGGATTGCCAATTATTGATAACGTTAGTACACGAAAGAAGATCCCTGTGGGATCAAAAAAGCAAACAGTATCACAACAGAGAGTTAAACAAAAAATTATGGAAAGAAGTAGCGACTGAAATGAAACTAGTAGGTATGTATTTCCGTTATCTATTTATATTTATTCAAGAATAATTTTTGTTTTAACACNATGGTACTGCAGCAGGATATTTAACCAACTTTCAGCCAAATACTTTTTGATAATTTATAAATTAAAATGTACGTTAATGAAAATAACATTTTTACTTACCTTAATGTTAGAATCAGATTATGCTTTGGTGATATGCACTCCCGAAAATTTGAGTGCTTAGAAATGTGACTCTCAATATTCTCTAATATATAGTCGAATGTGGATTGTGTCATTCTCGTGTATTCGAAAAATTTTTCATTATTTCTTCCTAATTTTTCATATGACCTTCCGAACTCTCCCTTTCCATTTCTGGATCAAAAATATGTGTCAACCCATTTTCCTCTTTTTTCTTTCAGTAACAAATATTTCACTAATGGTGATGATTCAAACTGATAAAACTTTGATAGCGAATCCATAATCACTACTGTTTTCGTATGGACTGATATCATCCAATGTAACCACACACGCCTATTAAATTCGTAATAATTGATTCGTACGAATTCGTAAGACTAAATTTTCATACGAATTCGTATCCAATGTAACCGCCGCCTTAGTACACCGCAAAGGTTGTCAGAAAAAAAGGTAATTCTCAAATGTCATTCTATTCTCAACGTAATAAACTGTATACAAAACAACTTTGACTAGTGATTGAATGCAATCTGAAATGAAATAGCCATATTAATTCTTTATGTGTGAAATTTTCTAGAGTACCTATCAATGTTAAGCTTTTTGTGTGTACTCTCAACAATGTCTCAAAGGCATTATCAAGCAACTCTATTTTGTATGCTTTCACAAAATACCGTGCTTTCTTCAACTTGACTGTCAACAATATAATGCCAAATGCATTATATGTAGTGTGATACGACGTGAGAAAAAAACATATCTGGACTTTGTTTTAAGAAATAAAAATTCCAAAGCAATTTGGAATACCTTAAGAACGCTTGATATCCTGAGGAACAACAAAAAATCAGATATCCCTGATGAATTAAAAGACGTCAATCTCATCAACCAGCACTTCAATTCCACTTCAGATTTGCTCACCAATTGTCCTTATTAGATCGATATGTTAATTCGGAAGAAACTGAAAACTCCTTTCACTTCTCCTCAGTCACCTGTGAGATTGTGCGAAGTTCCCTAAGACGCATCAAGAGCAACGCTTCTCATAAACTTTATCATTACCAGTTTCCAACTTCTAAAATGTTGGAAGGATGGATTGGTTATTCCTCTGGCTAAGTGTAACTCACCTACTGTCCTTTCTGACCTAAGACCAATTACAATTCTACCGTATCTCTCTGAAGTAGTGGAATCGATTCTGAAAAACCAGATTGATGAGTACGTCAATGAAAATCATATAACATATGTACAATCAGGATTCAGACCTCAGCATAGTACCACCACTGCTCTTCTGTCAATTACTGACGATATTTTTCAAGCTGCAGATGAACAAAATTTGACCTGTTTAATACTTATAGATTACAGATTCTAGATCATGATATATTGTGTGACAAACTTGTCTACTTCGGTTTTTCTCGGAAAGCAGTGTCTCTCTTAAAAAACTATCTGAAGAATCGTACTCAAAGAGTTGTTGTAGATGAAGTTTATTTCAGATGCTCTACCGGTATGAAAGGGAGTGCCACAAGGATCTATCCTTGGGCCATTGCTTTTTAGCTTGTATATTTGTGACTTTTATCTGTCCGTGAAAAATGCAATATACATCACTATGCAGACGACACGCAGTTATATGTCTTTTTTCGCCTGGCGAGTCTACATCTGCTCTGTCGCATATTAATAACGATCTCTAAGCCATCTTTGACATTTCTACTAATGAATTTTCTAAAGTACAACAATAAATACAATTTTTTGACATTGTTAACTCGACTTGTGTTCATATAATTTATTTATAGTTTCTCCCAGGTTGAGTTGAAAAACAGCCTTGGCTGATACTCCGCCTATTCACCATATACTGGAAGTTTTTTCTTTGTTTTTGTTATTGTTCCCGTATACTGTTTTATTTTATTTTTGTCTATTCCATTTTTATTTTTATGGTGAAT